TGTTGAAGATTAGTATGTCAGCTTTAGAATTAAGTGAGGCCATTTGAGAAAGAGGGGAAAATTCCTATTGTCATGAGTAGTAATTGATCTTATCTATAGTCATTCTTTTCCATTCTAAAAATGAGGCACTCTGGTGGCCTAGTGGATAAACAGTTGTGCGGTTAACCAAAGGCAAGCAGTTTGAATCCACCAGCTCCTCTATGAAAGAAAGGTGGGCAACCTCTTCCCTTGTAATTTACAGCTTATGAAACCCCCCTGATGGGTCAGCTTTGGGTCAACTTGATGGCAGTGAACATTTATTTGCAGAAGACACCTTCCTGTAGTGTTTCCTTCCCCATATTATTTTTCTGAATAATATTGTCCTTGAATAGGAGAAGATAGACATTTTTTTTTCATTTTTAAAACACACTTTTCAAGTATGAAGAGTGCTCTCAAGCACTTTTCTACTGTGTGTGTTTGTATTTAAGCCTTTTGGTTTTTACAATTTGTCCATTCTTAAAATCTAGTATTTTCCTACTTGAAAAAATAAATTTTCACCCCAAATACTGAATTTTATTCCCAAAATTGCTTGTCTATTCTCATGTTGTCAATGTTGTTTAGTGCCATTGAGTCAGAACTTACTACTCTTAACTGACACACCGAAAGCGTTTTTTTCTATATTTCTCACATGCTTTTATCTTAAATCACAATGTGTGCATGCTATGTCATTTTACTATTATAATCTGTTTTGTTTTCTATGCATGACACTTACTTTTTGAAAAAAAAGTTTTTAAAAGGAAGTGTTTGAAGTTTTTGTTTGCGTGGAAGTATCTTAAGTCTTATGCCTTGTATATCTAACATTTACAGAAGAATCGAGAAGCTAGATGCATATACTTGAGTAAATTTCTTAACCTCTCTAAACTTCAATTTATTAATCTCTAAAGTGGATAAATAAAATAAGACTTACAGGATTTCTATGAGAATTAAGGGCTACATTTCGTGTGATTACAATGAAGTGACATAATCGTATCATAGCAAATGTTCAATGATGGTAGCTGTTATGATACTAATTATGGTACTTTTAGATTCTAAGTGGATGTTTCTCTCTATGTAACGTTGATGTTCTTATGTTCAACAGATAGAATATGTCTCATACCTCAGTTATATGCCTTATCAAATCCCTTTATATGTAGTCTTGGTTATAATTTTTAATAAATAGAAAACAAGCCTGTGGTAACAAATTGAACAGGTGTCAGAAGATTTAGATTTTTCTGTCTACTGCTAATATCTTCACTCTGTCTTTATGGAAATAGTTACTACATCTTCCCCTCTCCCCAAGGAAAAACACCCCACTGTTTGTTAGTTGTTACTAGGGACAATTAGAAGAAGGAATGGGATAAATCATTGCTTACAAAATGCAGAGGACTTTTTCTCTCCTGTTTTTAGTTCCAATTTGGGTACAAATTTAGAAAGCATATTAATTTTCCACTAAATTTATCTATTATTTATTTTGTACATAGGTTGCAATGTCTCAGTATAACAACCCTCTTTCTCTTTTTTCTGTGTTCGAAGATTCTACTACTTTATTCATTTAAATATCATATAGTGGCAGAAAGCTATTTTAAAGGCAAAAAAATGCTTTTCTTCTCCAAGAAAATGAATAATGTGCTTAATAAAATGTTTTTTATATACACTCAGTATTCATATTATTTTAGGGTTTTTAATTTAAATTAGAAAGTATTAGAATATTGTTAATCTGTCACTTATTATCAATTATATTGTCAATTAGTGGTGGAATGTAATGTGCAATATTCATTCTTAAGAATGCCCCATTACTACTTTTGTCTATACTTTTAAAACTAGATTACATATAGATATTTAATTTTCAAAGTGATGTTGGTTCTACTTGCATCATTATCTCCTTGTTAGAACAATACTTTTTTATTTCCATTGCATTACCACTTATATTAATGTTTTATATTTAATAAAGATTGCTGTTTCTTTTCATTTAAGGGACACAATTGTGATACAGTTAACATTGTAGTTTATAATGTGAAAATCCATTTTAAACATTTTACAAAACTATTTTAAGCAACAAAAGTAGAAGTCTCAAAAAAATCAATCTAATTGCTTTTATTAATATTGTATTTTCATTTTCTTTTTTTTTTACATTTTAAGGAGCACACACTCTTGTCCTGACTCCCCAACAATTCATCCCATATCTGAACCCAAAGATTGCCATTTGCAGAGTGATGGATATTATGAATGCATATTTCAGCCATTCTCTCTATCATCTAGCTATACAATGTGGATTAATGTCAATCACTCTTTAGGTTCACTTGACTCACCACCAACATGTTTTGTTCCTCAGTCTATGGGTATGTTAAATTATATTGTGTGTCTTCCTTCTCACTTCTGTATGTCCATAGAGATTTACTCAGGGGTACTGTTGTATTTTGCTATTTCATGAGCACCCTAGAGATTGTGGCTAGAGAGAGGGACAGGGTGGAAGTTGTCCTGTTTACATTGGGATTGTGGGGGAAAAATCAGCCATAGAAAGTTTTAATTGTTGTTTTATTTTGATTTTATTAAAGATAATTCATAGTACATCTTTGCTGTGATGAGGAAATTTTCAGCATGCTATCTCACAAGTAGAAGGCAGAGATGGTTCGGTGGTAGACTTCTTCCCTTCTGTGTGGGAGACCTGGGTTCCTTTTTCAGTCGATGTACCTCAAGCACAGCCACCACCTGATTAACAGTAGAGGCTGAACATGTTGCTTATTTCAGAGCTTCCAGATGGAGAGAGACTAAAATCAGCCACTGCAAACCCTGTGGCCCCCCATGATCTGTTCTTGTTGGTACATTAGGTTGCCATCACTGGAGTGCAAGTCAGAGGCAGCTCTCACTCACAATAATTTAACAATACATCAGTTACTATGAATGAAAGTTAGTAATGATATTCTGAATGAGGATATTTGTATATTATTTTACCAATAAGTTTATGAAATCATCTTGTATTCTTAGTCTGATTAACATTTTATCTGAATATTATAAGATTTTTATAATATGAAGAGTATTAACCAAATTTTTAAAAATATGAGCTTTTGTAGAAAATCAGAGTATTCAAAATAAGTAAAATGAAATGAAGAGAAAATAATCAAAGCTGATAACTATTTTGAGGTTTCAAATATTCTTTTCAAAAGAGACAGTGATGAACTAAAAGTCCTCTGATATAAAAGTACTGAGTACTTATTATATCCCTCTACTCTCAACATATAAGCGAACAAAAAATACCCCAAAACCCATCCATGATCATACAGTATCAGTGAAATAATGCCATTTGGCACTCTTTCACCTCAACTCATTGTCATCGAGTCAGAGCCAATTCTCAGCTGACCCTCCAGCGGGTTGTCAGAGGCTGTAACTTGCAATGGGAGATGGCTCACCTTTCTCCCATAGAACAGCTGGTAGATTTTAACTGCCTGCCTTTGATTTGGCACTCCAGTTCCTTACACGTCAGGACACTACACACTATATTATTGGGAAATTAGACAAAATTCAAGATTTCATTTATATTTATCCTCCTGTCCCCCAATATTTAGTACATACTTGAATTTGAATTTAAATGCACATTTTTCTAAATTGAGAATAAATATGTCTTGCTTTTAGATTTGCTTTTTCAATCTAAAGTTTTAATCAATTCCTTTGCCCCTAAAATGAATTATTTTAGTTAGATTTTGAGTGATTTTACTTTAAATCCTTCTTTCCCAGTGGTAAGTAGCTCACTAGGTCATCACCATTGAGTCACAACCCATTCATGGCTAATCCTTCAACAAGCTTAGGGAGGCTGTGGATAAGGGAGATGATTGCTGATTTTTCTCCTATGGAGCAATTGGCAGATTCCAGTCTCCAGAGAAATGTCACCTCTGATTTAGTAGCACAAGTGTTTACCTACTAGGCCACCATATCTAGGATATCAGGGAATATTCTCCCCCTCCTCTGCTTCCTCACAGACTCACATGTAATATAAGACAAATATGATAGGAACTCAGTATTATATATATATGCTTTGAATGAAGTTGATGCTTGGAATTATAATCAAGTTAGGAAATGCAGAAGGCTGGCTTAGGGACTTTTTTAATTTCCCATGTGCCTTGAGCCAAATTATGAAGAAGACCAGCCCTCTTAAACATAAAGACATGGGGGAAATTTAAGCAGTGACTACAACTCTAAGCTAAACATTGGATATTAGTTAACTATGAGATTAGCAACAAGAAAAGGTAATGAGAAAAAAAAACAACCTTTTTCTTTTCATTTCTATAGTTATTATAATAAATAGCCATTTTGCTTGTGTTTTTCTATATTTATTTGTAAGAAGTTATCTAAAAAAGCATACTTAATATTCAGGTCATCTTTGCTTCTACTTCTGGCATTAAGATTCTGTTTTCTTCAAATTATAGTCTGTGAAAGACTATTACTGACCTTGACCTAGAAATGATAAAAGACAGTTGGTGAGTTTCAAAGTTATACATGTAGAAATCAATGCACTACTTGTATTATCCCTTAATTAAAGTGCCTTGTGGAATAGTTTACTGCTGATTTTGTTATAGGATATTGTTTTCTCATACAGTCAGTGATTATATTTACAATCAGATCTTACTGTTAAAGAGTGACATTGATCTTTTTCCATCAAATGTTTTGAAAAACAGTCATACTACCTTTATTACATACCATATTAAGTTTTAGGGGGTCAAATGTGAATGAATTAGAAAGGTTTTGAAAGTTGTATTGCTTTATAATAAAATTATAACTTCTTAATAATGTTGGTCAAAAATTATTATTGCTGAAATTGCTGATAAATAATATTGTTTAATTTTCAAATTTCTAGCTAAACCACAGCCTCCAACCAGTGTGAAAGCTGAAATTACTACTCACTTTGGATTATTGAATATATCCTGGGAAAATCCTGGCTTTCCGAGGAATACATTTCAATGCCAGATTCGCTATGGTTTAAATGAAAAAGAAATACAGTGGAAGGTATCGTATATAAAAATAGTTTCTGTATTCTCTCCAATGCATAGATACATGTTATTTGTATCCAAATCAAACTCACTGTTGTCAAGTGGACTTTTACTCCAGGTGACCCTCCACATTGTTTTGGAGGCTCTAAACATTTGTGGGAAGAGACGGCCCATCCTTCTTTCTCAGAGGGACTGTGGACTAGAGTCTTGAGGGTTTTTGTTAGCAGCCATTCACATTTATGTACTAAACCACCAGAACGCCTACAGAACAAAATTGGTTGCTGTCCAATGTGTTTAAATTCCTAGTGATCCTGTAGGATTTGTGTATTTTAGATTGTTTGATGAAAATGTCATGTTTACTGATCTTTTTTTTTGGAGGAACTTCCAAACTTCTCAATAGGGTCATAGAAAATTATTTAAGCATTTTCTATAGGTCTTTTAAGATCACCATGAAAACTTTTTGCTATAATTTTTTTTAATTTTTTCTTTTATTTTATTAATTATTTTGTGTATGTGTACTGTAAAATCAGATCTGACTGGTACAGGAGGAGATTGTCTCTCCTTCTCCAGCAGAACATTTGGTGGATTCAAACCACACACTTCTGGGATTGCAGTACAGCTTCTTGTACTAGGCCACCAGATCTCCCAGTTATGAAATTTCTCATCAATTAATTTGTTAGAGAATGCTTTGTTTTGCTCCAGTTAGATCTCTCTAATTACAGTTCTGGAATTTTACTTTATTACCCTCCACTAAACTGCCAAGATATATACAGGTGTTGTTATTGTTAAGTGCTCTCGAGATGCTTGTGACTCATAGCTACCCAATGTTCAATGGTTCTGAAACCTACTCTGACTTGGGCCAACTCAATTGTCTCTAAATACACCTATCCCCATTACCCAAGTCACTGAGTCCAACTATCTCATTGAAGGTCTTCCTCTCTTGTGCAGTCCCTCCACCATTCCAAGCATGATGTCCTTCTCCAAGGAATGGTTACTTATTGCAAAATGCCCTAAGTATGTCAGATGAAATAGATAAAACTTCAGAATCATTGCATCCAAGGAGTAGCCTGATTTCACTCTCTCCAGGATGGACCTGTTTGTTCTCTTTGCAGTCCTTGGTATATTCAATACTCTTCTTCAGCACCACAGCTCAAAGGCATTGAGAGTAAGGCCCTGGATTGATGGGATGCTAATCGAGGTGTCTTTAACACATGCAGCTGTAAACATACTCACTAGCCTATACCATTTGGAAGACAATACTTGGCCCACTTACCAGAAAATCCATATTTGTCACCATTCCCAAAAAAGGCAATTCAACAGTGTGCAAAAATCATTGAATAGTACAATTAATATCATATGTAACTTAAATCTTGCTAAATATTCTTGTAAAACATCTGGAACAGCACATCAACAGGGGAATTTGAGAAATTTAAGCTGGATTCAGAAGAAGCACTGACCCCAACCATGTCATATCTGATGTCTGATGGATATTGTCAGAAAGCAGAGAATTACCAGAAGTATTTTTACTTGTGCTTTATTGATTATACAAAAGTACTATGGCAAATATTGAGAATGGGAATCCTAAAACAGTTATGCAACTTTAAGAAGTTATTGTCTAAAATGAACAAGAGAAGAACACAGCATGGTTTAAAATCAAGAAAAATGTATGTCAGAGTTGTATACTTTCTCCGATCCTATTTAGTCTGAATGCTGAACAAATAATTTGAGAGCTGCCCTTGATGAAGAAGAATGTGGCATAAGATTTGGAAGAAGACTCATTAACAACTACACTATGCAAATGACACAATTTGGCTTTCTGTAAGTGAATAGGATTTGAAACACTTTCTGTAAATGGTCAAGTCCACAGCCTTCCATACGGGTTACAGCTCAACATCAAGAGAAAAAAGTCCTCATCACTAGACTGAAAGGCTGCAACATGACTGATAGAGAAAAATTTGAAGTTGTCAATAATTTCATTTTACTTGAATCCACAATCCACATGCTTAGTGCTGACAGTCAAAAAAGAAAAATGTATGTTGCATTGGGAATATGTAATGGGAATATATAGACCTCTACGAAGTATCTAAGAGCAGCAATGTCAGTTAAGGACTTAGTTCACTTGATTCAACCCCTAATCTTCTCAGTTACTTGCTATGAATATGAGAGCTGGGCAGTGAATAAGGTGACAGAAAAAGAATTGATGCTCTTAGATTATTGTGTTTGAAAGGCTTACTGAGTACCCCATGGAATGGAAAAGGACAAACAAGTCTGTCAAGGGGGAAGTATAACCAGGGTGGTAGAGGCAGGAATGGTGAAATTTTGTCTCATTTACTGTAAGCATTTTGTCAAGAGGGACAAGTCCTTCAAAAAAGACATCATACTGAAAAAAGATGTAGTTCAGAAAAAGAAAGGAAGCACCTCAACCACATCATTGACATAGTAACTGCACAAAGGGCTTGAGAGTATCAGCAGTGGTGAGATTGACACAGGGTAGGGCAAGGTTCACATTGTTCATAGGATTCTATGATTTGTGACACTTAGCAACAATAATAACTATTACTACTTTGGGATGACAAATTGAAGAGGAATGGTCTTGAAATTGTTATTAAATTATAATTATATTTTTCTTTTTTTCCCTAACCCTAACGTTACAAATTATAATTCTATTTTTTAGAATTATCATTTTTTACATTATTTTTAAGTAACAAACATTGTCATTGGGAAGCAAATAATTGTGTAGATAAACAAATTCTTATCTTGAAAAAGCTCACAGTCTGCATCTAATATGAGTCTTTATGAAGCAGAAACTCTGTTTCTGTAAGTTTCATATTAATATTAAAGTTTTCTTTGTGTGTTCTTGAGTATACTTTGGATTGATTTTGATGCATATATTTTAGCAATGGTTAAGGATAATACTGTGTTTTATTTTGCAGGTGGTTGAGGTGAATGATACAAAATCAAAGTCGGCCAGTCTTGTGGTGTCACACCTGTGTGCAGCCTATGTTGTCCAGGTGCGCTGTAAGAGACTAGACGGAATAGGAGATTGGAGCAGGTGGAGTCCTACTGCCTATACAGTTGTAAAAGACTTAAAAGGTCAGCAGAAGGTTATAAATTTGTCTTGAAAAAATGCTATGTGTGTGCTTCAAATATTGCTTAAAAATATTTTTAATACATCTTGGACTCCTTGTCTCTTTGCAGTTCCTACCAGGATACCTGAATTTTGGAGAATAGTTAATGAAGAGGCTGCTAAAGCAGAGAGAAATTCCACTTTATTTTGGAATACAGTCCAGCTTTTAGGGGATTTTCTTTTGAATAGAAAAGCAAGTTCTCCATATAATTTTTCTTTAAACTCTCAATAAAAATTACAGGAAAGAAGTTATTCTTTCAACTCAATACATTTTTAAATAAAATTTATGTATATATTGTTATTGCTCATCAAATCAGTATGATTTTTCTATTTTATTCTCATAGAATTTGTTTCATCATCATATATTTCATTGTTAGTCTTCAAAAGACCTTGTGGGAGCCACATTAAAGTCTCTGGGGAAAAAGAAAAAGACCTTGTTATACATCATCTTATTTTTTATTTGGATTGTGTAATAGATAGTGCACTAGAACACCAGAATGACATTGTTGTTAAGTGCCATTGAGTTGAGAACAACTCATAAGAGACCATGTGAAAAATAGGTCTACACCTAGTCCTATCTTGCATCATCTTCATCAATTCTTACATACTTGAGCTCTTTGCTGCAGTCACTGTGTTAATCTACCTGGATGAGTGTCTTCTTTTCTTTCACTGACTGAGGTTCTCTTTTGTAACTACTTCATGCTGGATGGGGGTGATGATTTAAAAGAGGGGAAAGGCTGTGGGATTTAGGCAATGGAGTTGGCAGCTCTGATGATGGAGCGTAATGTTTGGTACCCAGTTGATAATATGAGGAGTTCGTGGACTCTGTGGTTGGCAATGGCTTTCATCTGCTTCTATAGAAAACTAGAGAGAAATCATATGAGGCAAGGACCAAACCTTAAGTTTAAGACAATTACTGTAAGAGGGCTGAAGAAGGGGAGAAGTCAGGACAGCTTGGACAGGGAGAAAAAATTGTCGATTTTGTACGGCTGCTCTAAGACTTGTTTTAGGAGTACTATGACAACAGTGGCCTGTCTTTTGATGAGGGGTACAGAATATTTTGAACTAGTTTTGAAGCACATAGATTTTGGGTGTTAAAAAGGCACACACAGAGATTTAATCCAGGTGGTCTATAAGCAGCTTTAAATTGAGTTGTAGACGAAGAATAATTCTGAAATAGAGTATTGAGTCTATTTCTTTGACAAGGAAAGGGTGTGATTAAAATAAAGGAGAAACGTTCCTTATTTCTTTAGTGAAGTTAATTGAAAGTAGGCAGTTAACATTTGGAGTAGAGAGAAGGATTACGTTATCTTTAGCTGACCTCTGAAATTTATTTTGTTGGGGTTCAATGTGTTATTTTCTGAAGTCCAATTAGGTTGAATAGAAGTGGCTACATATGTCCTTTGTCGTAAGAGTAGACAAAGCCAACAGTCTTTAGTCTTTAGAGGATTGGGATGAAGTGATGCAGAACTTGAAAAAGATTGTATAAAAAAGGCGTTTTATAGGGGGTTTTGAGTGAACTGGTTGGGTGAATTTCTTTTAGTGTTGTTATTGATGATTAGTTATTAACTTAAAGTTCTGGGTATACTTCTTAACTATCTGGATATTTTGAGGTTTACTGGCATTGAGTTACTATTTTTTAATATTATATGAAATGCTGGAATGAAAAGACCTTTAGTAATTATTTGTTTACAAGTTTCTTTTTTAAAAACTATAGGAGTTTTAGATATAGCTTGAAATTGACTGGGAAATAATACTCTATTTTATATACAGTTTAAGAGAGGAGTTTTATATTTATTTATTTGTAGAGGTTGGGGTTTTTTTTTGGTGGCTTTTTTTAATGGTTAAAAGAGAAGTTGGTGGGAAGAAAGAGGGTTATTAATAGATTTCAAGACCAAATAACTCATATTAGTGTCGAGAAGAAAGTACATTGAGTGGGATTATTTGATAAGGAAAGGGTGTGATTACCATAAAGGAGGAAACATTGCTTATTGCTTTAATGCAGTTAATTGAAAGTAGACAGGTAACATTTTCAGGGAGAAGGATTAAGTTGTTTTATGAGCAACATCCACACATACCTAAGGCTTTTCTGGGAATATGGTGATATTGTGTTGATCACTCCTTGTAGTCCTGACCCCCTCAGTCTGATTGCTCCTCTGTGACCGAGACTCATTTGGGGCAGTGCTGAGCTAGGTGTTTATGAGAACAACATTGGAAGCATGTGCTATGAGGCTTCTCTTATGTCGTTTTACTTTCTTGAAGCATTTTTTGCATTTATGGTCATGTGAGCGTGACGAGGCTTTTTACAATGGAAACAAAAGCCTTGGTGTAAGTTTTTTGGGGCATGTTAGCTGGACGAAAAGATATTCTGAGACAGCTGTTTAAGAAATTTGACTTTTAACTTGTTCTTGTTTTACTCTGTCAAATTTTTAGTGTTGAACACCAAAATAGCAGCAGCTAAAAATTAGTTTGAGGTACTTTTGTGGCCTAAATCTTTTCCTGAGGTTTCTCCTTACAACAGAGGCAGACTGATTGATGGAATGAAACCTTATTATTATATTTTTCTGACACTTAGGGTCTAAGTTATTGAATTTTAAAAGGTACATGGTCCTTTAAATTTGAATTTTCTTATTCTCTGAACTTTGGCTGAAAATTTAAGGTTGGTGGAAACTACTGTTATGGAAAAGAGCAACAAACCAAATTTTTTAAACTAATTTTAATAAAAATGAAAAATAACCTATGTATATATATATTTATTTTTTAATAAACTCTTTTGTTTGTTTATTGCTGCCACATTCTCTAGCTCTAGTGACTGCTACTTGAGAGATGGAAGGGTTAAAGGAACTTGATGGATATGCCTATGTATTTTGAAGCACTGGGCCAAGATGGCATGGGAAATTGTCTGGTGGGCTGAGATCAGAGTAGGAAAAAGGATATTTGCAGGTCATTGTTGAAAAAGGAAGAGAGTAATGTATTAGTTACAGAAGATTTGCTTTTAAACAGGAGGTTAGTCTTGAGAAGTTAAAAATCTGAGCAGGATGAGTAGAGAGGGAGAGAGAGAAAAGCGGAGAGTGAAAGAGTTTGGTTGCAGTTTCTGGCTGGGTTTGTATTGGTGGCCTAATGATAAGAACCTGAGCTGTAATCCCAAAGGCACACAGTTCTCCAGCTGATTCATGGAAGAACAATGGGGAATCTCCTGTGCAATTTAGTGCCTCTAACAATCTCTTGGAAGATCACTTATGAATTGATTCTGATGAGACAATAGACAATAGCAAAAACAACAAACCCTGACAAAGAAATAATATGAGAGGAAAACATATATTCCTGTAGAAAGCCCAGACACAATTTGAGACAAAAGCAGTTAAGAGAGAAAAAGAAAAACAAAATCATTTCCATTTCCAAGAGCTTGCCTTGTAACTGGAAAAAATGGATGTTTTATTTTTCTCACACAACTTTGGGTGTTCCCACACACAAATCTGAAGGGAAATAACCATATCCTTATAACATTTTAAAGTTATAACCTTACAACCCCAATATATCGGCTGATGAACACATATCCTAAGGAGAAACCTTCATCTGCTCTGCCTTTATCCAGTTTGGTAAGCAAGACTACAAATAGAAATTTGTTGTTAGGTCCTGTTGAGTAGACTATGACTCATAATGGACGTATGAACAGCAGCTTTGAACCTTACCCTGTCCTGAGTCAACCTCATCATCACTGACACCCCTGACCTAATTGCTGCAGTCATTGTGTCAATTCATCTGCTTTAGGAACTTCTTCTTTAGAAATGAGCCTCCATTTTTTCAAGAATGATGTCCTTCTCCAAAGACTGGCCCCTTGTAACAACATGTTCAAAATATGTGAGTCAGAAATTGAAAATGCTTGCCTCCAAAGAGCAACCTAGTTTCACCCTTCCCAGGAAGACCAGTTTGTTCTCTTGTCAGTCCATGGTATTTTGAATAATCTTCTCCAGCACCACAACTCAAAGACATCGATTCTTCTTACGACACCTTTACTCATGTCCATCTTTTAGATGCATAGCAAGCAATTGAGAAAACCATGATCTGCATTGGGTGCATTTTAGTCTCTAGAATGACATCATTGCTCTTTAGCACTCTGGAGAAGTCCTTGACAGCAGATTTTCCCAGTGCAATTAATCTTTTGATTTCCTGATTGTTGTGCCCATGGTGTTATGTGGTGCTAATGGTGGATCTGAGCAAGATGAAAACATTAACAACTTCAATCTTTTCTCCATCTATATCATTATGTTGCCTGTTGGTCTGGGGGTGATGATTTAGCAAGGTTTAGTCTACCAGAGAGGTATACACCAGCTAGAAAAACAAATCTAAGAAGAACATAGCTAGGTCAGCTTACTTGTGATAATTTTGGGGATCAATCTGAGTTGTAATGAAGTCAATGGCAAGAGGTTTGGCTTCATATTTTTGGTGCTCACCTTGGAAGCAACTTAACTTCATGTTTTATAGGATCATTTTCAGAGTACAAAATACAGGAGTCTTGGGTCTAATCAGAGTGGGGAAATATTCCCATAAAACCAAGACAACTGAGAGGTTAAAAATACATCTCATAGAGACAAAAGGCAGACTTATGTGCTACTTCAACTGCTACTCTGGATAAAGTTTAAAGAATAAAAAAAGAAAAATCTTCCTGTAAGAATTCTTTTCCTCAGGCACATAGATCAGTGGAACAGAATTTAGAACCTAGGAACAGACCCAGCTATCCATGGTCAACAGATATTCAACAGGGAAATGAGACATATTTAATGAGGAAATGACAAACTCTTCAAAAATGGTGCTGGCAAATCTGGATTGCTACCAGCAGAAAGCTGAAACAATATCGACATCTCACACAATACACAAAAATCACCTCAAAGTAGATAAAATACTTGGGAGTAAACCCCAAAACCAAAAACCTCATAAGAGACAAACTGGGATCAAACTTAGAAGCCCTCTTCTTGGGTATGAAGAGACTGCCAAATACAGCCAAAAATGTACAATCTGAAGAAGATAAAATTGATTAATGGGACCTTCTAAAGATTAAATCTCTGTGTTCACCAAAACTTTTTTACAACAGGGTGTAAGAAAACCCAATGACTGAAAACAAAAATTTGGCAATAGCATCTACGACAAGAATCTCATAAAGAAGTTTATAGAATACTCTTGAACCTCCACAAGAATAAGTCTGATAAACCAATTACAAAATGGGCAAAAGAC